TCCCATCTTCAGTACAAGATTTAATCAACATAAACCAATCCATGACAACTACCTCCTTAGGCAGGTAGTTGCTTGTGCAGGTTTTGCACATTTCTCCATTTGTAACAATGCCTCTGTAATGACAGGGTTGCACAGACAGAGCAAAATCTTTCAGGCATTGTACATATCACACTACCAAAAAATGTGTGAATCCACATGATCTTGGTGCAGTTCTTTGTGTTCAACTACGTTCAGTCTCTCACTCCAGACCTGCACTGGCCACTGTGCAGTGAGCCATCCACCAGCTATGTATGGCGGCTCAGCAGGAGTGTGAAGACCCATCTGGCCAGCTGGTGCAGCCCATCCCTTGAGACTGTCCCCGCCACCAACAACACTTGATTAAGTCTGTTGACCTTGGTTTTGTCAATGAAAAACACATTTACCTTGCAGGTACTGCCATTGGAAGGTGATGAGGGGCTTCAAAAAAATTAAGTCAGAAAAGGTGGTCCTTTCTCCATCATCACCAACACTACAACTTCCCTCAAAAAAGCCAAGCAGGAAACTCAGTGGTTACAGTGGAGGTAAGCAGGGTGTGGTGTTTCCATGCTCTGTTGATTGCATTTTATCATATACACATTACACCCAAGTGTTTCATGTCTGTGCATGTGTACACATACATCCCAATAATTCACAATAATTAGCATCTCTTAACATTGTATGACACATTATACAAAAATTCAAAATATTTGGAACACTTCTGTTGTTGAACCCATATAGCTGAACTACAGTATTTAGTTTTCAGTCCGCCATTCTGCTAGTCTTATTATTCTCTCTGAATGGTAGCAATATGCGTCTCTTTTCTTGCAACTGCAGAGGCAAGTCACTGTTCTATACTCAATGAAATTATATTCAGTTTTATCATTTTGACAGCCTTATCTTTGTTGCTACAGTTAAGAGATGGGTAATAAAGAATCTCTCTCACCTTCTGACAATTTATTGTAAATATCTTAATAATATTTCCAATGGAATAATTCCCAATTATATATAGCTACAGGCAAGAATCTTATTGGTGGTCATGTAAGGCATGCATACGAGTTGCAGGCAGTTTATAAGGTGCTGGAGTGCATCACAGTTGCATGCTTAAGCAACCATCTGATTGTACATTAGTAGGAACTAGCAGTGGCAAGTAACAACCTTTACATTGAACATCAGAAGGATTTCAGCCATAAATAGCAGCACATAAATAACTAGGCGGAAAAGGCAAAAATCATTTTGTGCCCTAACACAAACTTAGAAAGGCAAAATGTGCCCCATGGAAGGTTCTGGGGTATTGTTTGCTATTGGGTGTGTGTGTCAAAAAACATTTATTGAAGGGAACAAATTCCAGGGTGGGCCAGATAGTCCTGGATCTGCAGACGCGACCTGTTTCTACCCTACTATCCATAGTAGCTAGAATGCCATTTTCCAGGAAGTGGTGAATGCCGCTTCTTCAGGATATTTTCATGTAGCTTGAAGTATTGGTTGCAAGTGGTATGAAGACTGAGTCTCTAGGAACACATACTGCAACAATGAAACCCTGGAATGAGCACAGTGTATTTTGTCTGTATTTTGAGTAGTAGACAGAAGATACTGGGTCCAAACTGCTGTGGTATATCCGTATGATTTGGTTCCATATATCTCTGGGGAGTTATTTCGTTAGCTTGTGTAGCTCTTTCTGGTATTCATCAGTAGGGCTTGTGGATAGGAGCCTGTAAAACGGCGCACTAGATAACTCTCTGAGTTTCCAAGATGTTTGTGAGGACTATAGTTCTGCCTTTGGCAGCCTCTTGACAAATGATGTTGGGATTGTTTTTCAGGCTTGGGGTGGCATCACTTTCTTTATTGCTCTGATTACATGGTGAATTATGTCTCTGGCTGTTTATCTCAGCCTGGACATGTCGGCAGAAGCACTCTGCAAAAATCTGTATTCTATTGTTCAGGTGTATCCATGTAGATTTCCCTTTCCTGCAGAGTTAAAACACATTTTTAAAAGCTGAGTTACCATGTCAGAGTTATTTAAAATGTCTGAGTGGATTTCCCTGGTCTGCCTCTGATATGGCTATAAGAACAGGAAGGTGGGGTGCTGCTACCAAAAAGCCCCTCCTTTTGGCAGGGCCCCAAGAACAATGCCTAAGAAGATTCTAAAGACATAGCGAGCATGAATAAGCAAGCTTAAATTGTTGTTGTTTTAAAATCAGGGTCTTGTTTCCAATCTTTTGTAATTTTTTTTGCTCCTATCTGCCATCTTTCTGCAACCAGGAACTAGTACCCTGAGAAACAATTGTTTTTGGTTATATATCATTGTTTTCTGGTTGTATACCAACTGCAAATTACAATGAGCAACATTCTTAAGACAGCATATGACATATTACATTATGTTTAGAAATTAGACTATACTCCTTTGCCTATCCCTGATGGCCTTTTAATAGGTGAACATAATCTGGTGAACATAAAGAAGTGCATGCAAGGCATCGACACATAAAAAACACTGGCTTCACTATAACAATTTTTGCATCTCTTAAAATCCCTCAGATGTATTCCCAGAAAAGATATCTTCCAATTTGATTGATTTATTTATTATTACTAGAGATGGTTCATGGCTACCTGCAAACGATGAACCATCAGAAGGTTTTAAAAAATGGACTACGAACTGGTTCTTTTTTATTAAAAGTTCATGCCCGTGGGGTGGGGGGAACTAAACCCCCCTTCCCACTGACCTTGTCACATTCCCCTACCTTTTGCTGCCACCACCGCCACCGCCATCTTGAGAAGCAGCCTGCCCTGGCCAGGCTTTCTTTTCTCTGTCTTTTTTTTTTTTTAGACAAGCAGGCCGATGCACAGATGCAGCCCAGCCTGCCAGCCTCCTCCCGAATGGGAAAAGAGAAAGGGAAAGAAAGGAAAGGAAGTCCTGCTGCTCTTAAAAGAGAGAGAGAGAGAGAGCGTGCCTGGCAGCCAGCTTGTGGGAGCCAGCTGGAATGCCTCTCAAGAAAACAAAAACAAAACAAAAACAAACAAAAAGACAGGCTGCCTCCCAAGATAGTGGTGGCAGAGGTGGAGGAGGAGGTGGCAGCAAAGCGTAGGGAGGTAGTGGGGGCAGTGGGAAGGGGGGTAGCGGAGCAATGGGGAGGAGGTGGGAGGAACGGACCAGGAAGTTCGGGGAATTACTTTAAAAGTTCATGGTTCAGGTTGGTTCAGGTTCACCGGCTGGCACAAACCAGAACTTACTCAAACCAATGAATCAGTGATTTTCCACACACCCCTGGTTCATTTTTTGGTTCATGCCCATCTCTAGTTGTTCCTTTGGAAAAACAGGATGGAACAAATATGGAAAATCAGCTCTTCCTCCAAGAAGCCCCAAGGGGGCAATGTTGTCCTTTTGACTTGTTTCAGACTTTCTGGGAACTTTAGAAGCACACTGTTTTAAATGCTGTACACTTTTCAAGTCCTTTGACATGTAATACATGCAGATGTATCTTAATAATAGTCTGGCTTGTATCCAGGAGATTAATTTTTAGCTGACCAATGTCTGAAAAGAATTTTTTCAAAAAATATATCTCAGCCTTATATACCACCTCATACACTCTCCAGGCAGTTTACAATTTAATCATGCAGGCTACACAATGTCCAACTTTGAAAATGTCAACCATTTAACATATTTGGCTTATAAGGATTTCTCAAATAGTCTTTTGTAATACTTCATTTTTGGATGACTTCAAACCTGAACTCTTTTCAGAACAGTTTAGCAATATTCTGTAGCACTTCATCTTTCAACCATCCTTTTATTGGTGGCAATGTTGTACCTGTTTTGGAGAAGACTGAATATTGAGATTGGCAAGCATTATATTCAGATTTATTTAATTTTTTTAATCAGAAGATCATCCAATCATCAGATATACAATCCTCAAAGGAATCCAGCTCCTATTGCCTCAGCCCAAGGAGGAAACAGAGGAAACACTTGGTGAGAAATGTAAGTTATAATGCAGTAGGAAAGGACACAGTGACCTATGAACTGGACTGATCCTGGTTATATGGAAGCCTCCAACACAAGCCTAGTCACCTTCTTTTTCTATCCCCATTCCATGATTAATCATTTTAACATGGGCCCCATCTTTGCAAGGGTCTTGTGGTCATACTGCAATTCTTAAGATGATAAAAAGAAAGTAAGCTATTAAATTACATGATCACCAGCACTGCAGAACATATCTCAACCACTTCCAATCTGATCCAAAATAACAGGTTGGACTGTTAAGAGATTTATGTGTTGTGATGCGCAGGCTCAAAGAGCAGAACTGATCCCTCAAGTGCGGAAGGATCTGTGATTGTCACAGCAAGTGTATTTGTGTCATGTAGTTTGGCCCATACTCTCAAGAGGTTTAATGTCAGGACTAGTTGTAGGCAAAACCCCACAGATAGGCAGTGGAACTTCCAAGTGTAAATCCAGCTGTGTCTATTACATGACACCCCAGGCACTCCAGGCAACTAAGCCAAGACTGGTGCTCCAGAGAGCAGTCTGTATTGGCAATCAGGTCAATAAAGGAGGGGGCAGGGATGGAGAGCAATCTGGATAGCTATCCAGCACCATTGCTAGGGAGGCTTTGACTTTGAATCCTGGTTTGATTTATCAGGGTTCTTGGTGTAATTCTTCTAAGTGCCAGTCAGGCCAGAACAGGCCAGTAAGCATGAGGCAGAGCCTTCTGAGACCCAACAGAGAACAAGGCCAGAAAGATGTAGAGACTTGATTTGGAAATTGGATGGTCACAATGCTTCTACCCAGAGGCTGGAAAACTTACTTTTCTGGATTAGAGTTCCAAGACTCCCCCAGCTAGCATGGCCACTGGATATGCTGGATGGAGGATTAAAGGAGCTTGTGGTCAGCAAAACCAGAGGTGTTGATTCCAGATTGAGTAGAAGAGATGAAGATGGGTCCACATCAATGGTTGGTACCAGGAAAATCAGTAGAAACGTAGAATCCCAGATGAGTGTTGATGGTAGAGGAAGAGATAATGGAGTGGTTGAGTTGAGCACTGCAGTTGATACTGAAGCAGGCAAAGGAGCTTAATTGACCTGCACATTGGTGGATAATGCGGGCAGAAACTAATTGAATAGGTCCATACCTGTTGCTGATGAGGATGGAATGGTTGACACTGGAGACAAAGTTGGATGTTTAGCACGTGTATCTACCTTTTAAACTCTAGACTTCTTAGTCTTAGATGCCTCTGAGGGTGCTAGACTAGAAGGGCACTTTGGGAGGGGCTTCTCATATCTAGGTGCAGATGGAGTTCTTCCCATGTAGGCGGAGGAGAATTCTGCACAGCAGGGGAATCTGAAGATGCCATTGTAGTTACCCATGGAGCTCTTGATACTGGTGGTGTGCCTCCATGGTTGGTATCAATGAAAAAGATTCCTCTTGTCAATACCAGTCTGGAAGAAACAGAAGTTCTGGTTGCTTTCTTATGTATAAGGGAAGATTCTCAGCCACCTGTTCTGCTGTCTTGAGGGACTGTTCCCAAAGGGGAAAAAACTGAGCTTTGATTTCTGAGGCGCAGGACCTGCTTGGTAAGACTCTTGCAGATATGACAACGTTAGGCCAGATGGATTTCCCTTAACCAAAAAAAGGCAGCGGGTACGCTGATCAATCAATGTGATGCTCCTGTCCCAGGAGATGCATGTCTTGAATAAGGCCGTAGAGGCCATGTGATCAGGTGAAGCTCACTGTGAAAAAAAGAGAGAGAAATGAGAAGGGGAAAACATTTTAAAAATAAATAAGCAAGGGAAGGAAAGTGAAGGTCAACAAAGAACAAGAACAATGATGAAAAGATGAACAATGAAGAAGAAGGAAAAGTGGAAGGCTCAGCAGAGATTGCTCCTAACATGTTGCTCCAATGATGGCAAGAAAGGAACTAAAGGAAATGGTCTGGGCACACTGGTACATACATGAATGGAGGGTGTGGGTGGGGCTTTTACCCAGTCCTTCTAGGGAATGTTCCAGAACAGGCTCTGCGCAGGCACAAGACCCAATTGTGTGATCCACAGCACCCTGAAGAATTGCAGGGAACCCAAGTAGTTGGAGATGACCTAAACAGCACCTTCTTTAACAGGGAAGGAGGAAGTAAATTTACTGATGTCTCAATTGTGGGGTATGGAAGAGATATAACATCTCTCTTTTCTTTCCCCCTTTCCCCTCCTCAGCTTCATTTGGAAGTCTGGCCCCTTTCCAAAAGTCTTCCTCATATGCAAGTATATCTTTCGGAAAGTCTTCTTCAGCGCTCCATGTGTCACAAAGACGGTAGGTATCTGTGAAACAAGTTGGGTCCCCTTATTGGGAGAAAGGCAGCCTATAAATAAAACAAACAAATGAATAAAATAAATAAATTTGTCTCTGGTACAGACTTGAACTGAGGGCATATGGGGTGCAAACAGAGATAGTATATGTGTGAAGTAAATGAATGTGGAGCAGTTCTCTCACCCCCATGACTGTAATATGGCAAAAAGAGGGAACCTTGCCTGGGCTGTTTCTCTTTATTCTGAAATGCCCCACAGCGTATCAACGTTATATTTGCAAAATTCTTCCAAGCCTTTTTAAAGGCTGTGACTTCCTGCCACGAAATCTTAGGAACTCTTCTTCCACCAGGAGTCCTTCAGGTGTATTGGACTACCATGACCAATAGCCATGCTGGTTGGGGATTATAGGAGCTGAAGTTGAACACATATGAAATACAGCCCTAGGCCTACAAAAAGTCTGCAAACAAAGAATTCTTGGCATTTTAAGAAAGCTGCCATTTTAAAGATTCTTTCAGAGATGCCACAAGTATCAAGCTGAATTCAAACTGGTTTCCGTGTATAGCGCATAAATGCCCACTCTGCAAATACAATCATGTTATTATCATGGTGCGATGCTGATGTACCTTTGATAGTCTATATCTGATGGCCTTTTATGTTCATTGTGCCACACCTGTAATATTAAAACAACACCGTCAATGTACATGAGCAGGCTTTGCTTCAGTGCTGCTCTTAGATGAAGGATGGCCAACTCCTCCAGCATGGGTGGGAGATGGGAAGAGGTCATTACTGCTTAGAAGACACACCAATAGGTGAAGAAGTTGAAAGCTGTTCTCTCATTTTGTGCAGACCAGATTTCAAGCAATGTACCACATATTTCTTGGAAACTTTGCTATGTTTTATTACATTTTATCTCAGCTTTTTCCAAATTATCTTAGAAAAGTATCTGCCTCCTTAATGTTTTTCCCACCACAGACATGACTGAGGGAATGACTGGCCCTAAGTCACTTAGTAAGCTTTGTGGCAACCAAGGTATCTGCATCACATATATTTGCTGTACGTATATATATACTAGCTATTTTTGGTTAAGGGGGGGGACCCAGTATGTTAAGTGACTGTTTACAACTGTGCAAGCAATTAATGCCTATGTTCTAGGTCTGTTTCTTTGCGGCTTCTGTAAAAAAAATAATCTAACTTTGAGAAACTAAAACATCTTCCTGTGAGGCATGAGGGTCAAGAAACACAAATATTCATAGGATTTCTTAAGAGCAAAGTGGGTTTGTGTTATTTGCAATCTTCATCTGCTTCTCTCAAGAACATTGTCCAGCTTTTTGCGACACATGAGCTACAAAGAGCGCTGGTGCGCTCATGCTCTTCTATTCCAGCTGCATACCCTCACGAGCACTGCACGTGCAGAGGGGGGGGGGTGCAGGGTCGCATATTTTGGCTAGGAAATATTAAATATTGTTCTGATTTTTCCTACACAGGTTGTCAACAAGTCAAGATTTTCCCAAAAAAGTACCATGACCAACCACAATGATTATGCCAGCAGTCTTTTCCCACTGGATGACAAAACTCTGTGGCAGGTCAGGACTGGGGCCCTTTGCTGGAACTCCAGAAAGTCACATGGGTTGTAACAGGTAAAGTGAGAGAGACTTCCTGCAGTATCATCTCTCTTGCGTGATGTTTTCTGTTCCCTGCAATAGATGTCCCTAAACAAACAGAAAAGAGAGAAAATAAACTTTCAATATGAAGAAGTTTTGTATTTTAGTAGAAGGGATAAGATGTTTCTGTGTACTTTGTGTAGGTATCTGTATGAAGCATAGCAAGGATCAAAGGTCTACTAATGAATTAAGAGTGGAATGCAAAAAAAGGGTATTTTAATTATGTGTTACTTTCTTATACTTTAACAATAGCAATTTGAGCAAAACTGTTTCTACTCATTCAGCAGCTTAGAGCTTGGGAAAGTTTTTTTGGCTACAGCTCCCAGTCTCCTGTGTCCCCACTTGGGAGGGTGGTGGGACCAAGAGAAAGGCCTCCCCTGATGATCTTAACACCTGGGTAGGCTCATAAAAGGGAGATGCCGTCTTTGAAATAGTTTGGACCCAAAGCCATTTAAGGCTTTATAGATTAAAACTAGCACTTTGAATCATGCCCAGAAATGGATGGGCAGCCAGCAGAGCGGCTGTAACAGGGGAGTGATGTGATTTCTATGCACTTTCTGTGCACTCCCCCCACTCAACATGCCAATACAGGTATAGGGAACACCTGATCCAAGCCATGACAACAGTATGGTGCTAAGTTAGGGCAATGGGCTGAGAAATTTTTAAAATGAAAAATGTTAGTATTTTGAATCCAGGATTCTTTTTTTCCCCTTAAGGTACGTATCAAAGTGTATGCAACTTGAGAGGGAAAAGAGGTGGAAGTGGGTGGACAATTATGTATACATTGAAGTGCACCTGATCACAACCTACCCCGTGGTGTGGATAAGAAACAGCAGATTTCCTTGCAGTAAGCTTTAAAAGCAGGAACAAGTTATCTGGATGTTTTTGTTGTGGTTCCAGTCATAAGAAATAGTAAATCACTGACACATTGAAGAAGGTTCACATCCAGAAGCATCAATGGTTTCTGCTAATTCAGAAGTAGCACAGCTTTCAAATTAATACAGTATGTAACTCCAGAACAAGAACCAAATTGGTGCTAGGAACATAGAAATGCGCTCATTTATTTCTTTCTTTTCTGTGATAAAATATTTTGATGAAAGCTAGCTGACCAAGATTTATTTGAATCACCAAGAGACTTTGGTAGGAAATTTTCCTGTGCCATAATGAAGTTTTCTGGGTGTTGTGAAAAGGCAGGATTGTCAGTAAAATACTCACCTGGGTTCCTGTTTGTGGCCCGATGAGTCCTGGGATGCCAAGAGGTCAGCTGCCATATTGGAGTCCAAGAAATCAGCCAGCAGTGCTACGGGGCGGAGCTCCTAGCCTGGTGGACTTGACTGTTATGGATTTCAATCCAGTCTGCCAGTTAGGAATATAAAGGAGGCTCCGAGATCCTCTCTAGCAGTCTTCATGTGGACTTCAACCACTTACCCTCCCCTTGCTCAGCAGGCTGTCTATGCATTTTGGGGAGAGGTGGGTGTTCTACAGGGATCTTTGCTTGCATGGTTGGCTATTTTTGTCACTGTTCTATTGGTGGCAATGGAAGAGAGAGAGATAATTTTGAGCACAGGAGCAGATAATTGGTGAGGAATATAGGCATTCAGCCCTATCCTAGGCAAAGAATCCCCTCCGTGTGTGGATCAGGGAGAGGGGGGACAGATGTGCAGGAGGGACACCAGTTGGGACCAATGGGCTTCACACCTGGGGGAGGACATTCCCACCTATGGTCACCAACACTTCCCTTGGGTCTCTAAGCCACACATTAGGAAGGTGGGCATTGGACGGCAGATGGGTCATCTGATGCAGGGTCTGCTCCTCATGCTGTCCAAAAAATTTTCTGCTGCAAACAAACCAAATGATGGCCTTTATATATCTATTATCAACCTGTCCTTTCAATAAAATCAAACTTAAAAGTAACTAGTGTATCTTTTCCTGGGGGTATCTCACCTGCGTCCACAATATGCCATCTTTTATAACACCATCAGCGAGGCCTTCTTTCATTGTGCAAAAATCTGCCCCATTATCTACATTTCAAATGGTCTGGGATGCTAATAGGTCATCTGATCCACATTGTTTGTTCTTCATATTTCCCCCCTAATGGAATGGAATCAATCTAAATCTAAAAAGAACCAGATGTGTTAATAAGGAATACATGTGCTTTGGTCCTTGTGATGGCTGTGGGGAATATGTCTATGGCTCCAGCCACTCTGTCATGTTACCCCTTTGTTTCCTGAGATGTGTGAGGAGGACAAACTATGGTTTTGGTTGAATAGCCTGCCTGAAACTTCAGTTTCCAGCATATTAGTCCAGCTATGACTCTGCTGTGCTCTCCAGGAACTAAAAATCAACGAAGCCCTGCAATTTGCTTGGCATACCTGTCTTGTAAGGCAAAACTGCCACCACCCAGTTCAAACCAGAACTTTCCTAGTAGAGAGTCTATGGCAAGCCTGGATTTAGCACCATAGATCCCAAATAAATAATGAAACATTTATATGGAGAAGATTTTATATTTATTAAAGAAAATGAAACAAAAGGCAGATAAGTTTGAAGAAAAAAAAAGGAAGTCACATGAGAAAACAATAAAGCTAACTTCTCTACTTAATTCATACTGACTGCACAGCTTCAAAACCTACACAGAGTACATCTCTGCTGAAAAAGTATGATAGGTCAGCATGCTGGCAGCCATTCAAGCCTCTTTCTTCTTCAAAACTTAGTTTGTCACAACATTCAACTGAAATCATTTATCTAATTAATACCATACCAGGCAATCTTGGTAGGTTGTCCTTTGAAATCATTTATCTAATTCATACCATACCAGGCAATCTTGGTAGGCTGGCCTTGGAGCCTCTTCTCATGAGATCAGATGCAAGTGTTTCCCATATTTGTTGAGCAAAAATTTGGTAATTACATCAAGTCATTTTCTCACAACTCAGGCCTGATTCTAAGATTGATTCCAGGTCACACATTCCACAACTTCTCGGTTCTTGACTGCCCTTGTTGAAGTTGAAAAGGCTACTGGGCATTTGGAAAATGTTTATTATAATGTGTATTACACAAACTCCGATAGACATAAAGTGTTAAATTTGGAAAATGAGTCAGAAAATAATCTGCAGGGTTTCCAATTTTGTTTTTCAACCTGAAATAAAGGAAAATAAAAGTCTTTTTATTCCAACTATGTAAGTGAGCATTAGTTAGTTTTGCACTTTAAAAGTATGCAAGTTATAGGTGTATTGCATATTAAAAAAGCTACTATTTTGTAATAACTGTGAGAATCCTCCAACTAGAATGAAAGCAAAGCAGCTATGAGCAAGTGAACACATTGTGTTCTACATCTGTAGACGCTTTCCTTAAGTGTATACTGAAACCACTGGCCAGGAAAATGAGTTGATCTTGGCCATGCATTGTGTGCTTGGAAATTTATGAAATTATCTAAAAACCGGCCATATTGGTATAACTGGGTACCAGGTTTGATCGAGCCCTAAGATGCTAACTTGAGAATGTGGTGCCAAACAAAGGGGTACAAGCAGAATACAGTGTGAAACAGGGAAAGGGCACAAGAGGAAGCTTAAATATGCACTTTCAGTACTATTTCATCAATCAAATTTGCCTCACTTTGGCCTGGTTACAGTAGTACAAAAGAACTGGTTTTTGGAATGTATTCACATTCAAATGAACTGGCTTTTAAAAGAGTGTTTCCATAATGCAAACACAACCCTGGATTGCCAGGGAAGCATGTTTTATAGGTGAAATGCGAGCTATAATACTATTCTGATAGAGCACAGCTTTCCAAACTACATTTTAACAAAGGTCCACCTTGCCATTTTATCTGGCCTGGGCATAGGAAGAGGAGGGAAGGAGGACCCAAGTGATCCCCCACCCCCGCTGTATTTGCAAAGATGGTGGGGGTGGGGGATCGCTTGGGTCCCCCTTCCCTCCTTCAACTCTCAAAAATATGTAAAATATAGGATGTGGCCCTCATACTGAAAAGTTTGGAGACCCCTGGTTGTTTAAAACAGTACACATGTGAAACTTGATTTATTTTATTCATTTCTGCCTATGTACACCCCTGTCACTGCAAACTGCATCTTGGGATAACCTGCAAGAGGCAGAAGAAGAGGCGGCAAGAAGGGAGGAAAGGTGTTTGTTAAAAGCTTGCCTGCTCCTGTCCCTTTAAGAATGCTTTTGCTGGTCTCTGGGAGGCAGAGGGAAGGTTAGGACTCCTTCAGCAGGCAGGCTGGATGATAAAAAGGAAAGCCAAGCACTATCCTGGGAAAGGGCACAAGAGGAAGCTTAAATATGCACTTTCAGTACTATTTCATCAATCAAATTTGCCTCACTTTGGCCTGGTTACAGTAGTACAAAAGAACTGGTTTTTGGAATGTATTCACATTCAAATGAACTGGCTTTTAAAAGAGTGTTTCCATAATGCAAACACAACCCTGGATTGCCAGGGAAGCATGTTTTATAGGTGAAATGCGAGCTATAATACTATTCTGATAGAGCACAGCTTTCCAAACTACATTTTAACAAAGGCCCACCTTGCCATTTTATCCGGCCTGGGCATAGGAAGAGGAGGGAAGGAGGACCCAAGTGATCCCCCACCCCCGCTGTATTTGCAAAGATGGTGGGGGTGGGGGATCGCTTGGGTCCCCCTTCCCTCCTTCAACTCTCAAAAATATGTAAAATATAGGATGTGGCCCTCATACTGAAAAGTTTGGAGACCCCTGGTTGTTTAAAACAGTACACATGTGAAACTTGATTTATTTTATTCATTTCTGCCTATGTACACCCCTGTCACTGCAAACTGCATCTTGGGATAACCTGCAAGAGGCAGAAGAAGAGGCGGCAAGAAGGGAGGAAAGGTGTTTGTTAAAAGCTTGCCTGCTCCTGTCCCTTTAAGAATGCTTTTGCTGGTCTCTGGGAGGCAGAGGGAAGGTTAGGACTCCTTCAGCAGGCAGGCTGGATGATAAAAAGGAAAGCCAAGCACTATCCTCAGGATCTGTTTTAAAAGGAAGTTGGGATTTGGGGGAAAGAGCAGCAGCGATAAGTTCATAGGATTTCTTTGTTCAGGATTTTCATGCTAGTTATTGCAGCAGGAAGGAGGATGTACAGAGTAGGTAGTCTGCACAAAAGACAGCTGCAAATCCAAAAAATGAGCAGTTCCTTACTCTTCATCTTTCTCGTCAAAGTGTTCACCCATATCTCTAATCAGCTTCAGTAAACCTGTCACACAGTCTTCATAGCGCTGCTTGTTTTTCTCTGGCTTCTTGTTGACCTTGTCACGAAAGGGACCCATAGACTCCCAAACCATTTTTTCTATCTGAAAAAAGATTCACATCTCGTCACTATCTCATCCTTATCCTAGGTGCATAAAACCTTTAGAAAAGGTTTGGAGAGATTTATTTATGCTCATTGACACATGGCTTTCCAACAGCTTACCTGGTCATGCCAGCCCTTGAAAGGATCCCCCTCATGATTCAAAGCCTCCAGAATTTCACTAGTATTCTTATGGTACTTAGTGTTGCGGGTTTTGATATCACTCTCATTCCCAACATCTCTTAAGACTCTGTATCTCCTGATAAGCACAAAGCAATGGTAATAATGTCAGATCTCGCGAGTTTTGCTTACTGCCGTGCTGGGTGACGGGCGGGCTGGACAGGAGCGGCTCTCGGGCCGTATGTGGCCCGCGGGCTGCACTTTGCCCAAGTCTGGGCTATGGAAACTATAGGTCACAACATGAGGAAGGTCGGAAGTTCAATACTGTTGTGCTGCTTCCTGTTACCTGGGTGGACAAAGAAGCTGCCATTGCAAGTTCCCTTTAAAATTCTCCCTGGATAAAACTAATTCAACCTCTCAACACTTCCTTCCCCCTTCTAGATGAGAAACCTTTGGTTTGTATACAGAACGGGTAAAGGCTCTGGGGAGGATGTTAACTAGTATGAGGAGAAGTTAAAATTTATTACATAGCAAAAGAAAAGGAATACATCATATTCTAAAAAAAACCATACTCCAGCAGAATAATAAAGTAAGTATTCTTTCATAGGCTTAACTTGAATAGGAAAACATACACAAGCAACTTTTGAATGCCGAACAAACAAATAGGATAGAAGTGTAAACATTCCTTACTCAGTATCAAAAGCTTAGATGGTTCTTAACTTAGGATTTTTTTTTTTACATGGCTCAATTGGATTGGAATGGATTGGACTAAATAGGGTCATTTAAGATCGGGTAGAGATCTGGTGATTCATTTGGTGCAATCCTTGCATATACTGTACATCCCAACTGATCCTACTGTATTTGGTATGTCTCCCTTAAGAAAACAGCAACTAACACACACCCTTCCTTGGCTCCTCTTCTCTCCTCCTCCTCCTGGGAGGAAGATTTCAATTTTTTAAAAATTGTATTATAGCACCTCAATGCTATCCTAATAAAAACAATGTTTTGCTTCTTTCCTTTACCCTTCCCTGGAGGAGCAAAAGAAATGTTTATTTTCCCAATACCTTGAAGTGGCTGACTTGTCTTCTTAAGCCACTTAATAATATGGAGAAACTGAAAGTGGAAGGAAAACTGAAAGTCACAAGCTCCACTTTGGTTCAATCCCAGCAATCACATGTGATGGAAATGAACTACAACAGAGTGATCCTATCCACTCCCATACACACAAAAATAGCCCCCGACAGAGACCCAGAGAAGTAAGGGTCGGGGATGGGATGGTTTGCTCTAGCAATTATGTCACCTGGTTGCCAGCAAAAGGAGCGAGCCAGCCCATCCCTGCAGTGGACCAAAGAGCAGAACAAATGGCCATCTGACAACAGCCTTATTCACAACCATAAGGCTGCTTCTGGTTTCTTGTTGTCTGCCTCCATGGTTCTAGCAGGCACCTAGAAGTCCACTCTACAGACAGAACAAAGAACACAGAAAGCTTTTCATGGATTTCTGGTCTAAAGATTCCTCAATAAGCACGAGTAGCTAATACGAACAAGTCATCAAAATCATTATTACTGATGGCACAAGTTTTGGTGATTTGCCTTTACCTTACCTGGGACACTGCCCTCTAATGAAATCACTTGTCAGCATATTCCTTCAAAGCAATTTCTTCTCAAATTCTGCCAGAATTCCCAGTGACCTACCACCCAATATCCCCAAGGGCAATGCTCAAAGTGTTTTAAACATTTAAAGGAACAGATCACAACATTTTCCAAAACTTCCTTCCAGCTCTACTTGCATAGCTTCTTCTTCCATGATGTCTATGCTAACAATGAAGCAATCAAGTTGAGGCATACTGTAGAATATTTACTTACGTCTTCTTGTCCCAGAAATAAGGATGGTAAATCAAACGGTCTAGCTGTCCACTCACTCTGTTGTTTTTATCAGGAGTTCCCAGACTTGTTCTGAGGTCTTCCACTTCCATACAATTATCAACTTCCTCTGGGCACTCCATAGGCAAGGCTTCAAAGCTGACTTTACCCTTCATTGCAACATACAGGACAAGATGTCCAAGAGCCTACATGTGAGAGAAAACAACATCCATAGAACTAGAGTCCATTACCATCAGCATATTTCTCCTCCATAGAGATGGGCACGAACTAAAAAATGAATCAGGAAGTTCACTGAAAATCATTCGTTCGTTGGTTCAGGTTGGCTTGAGTTCGTCAAAACTGACAAACCTGAACCAACCCAAACCACAAACCTTTTAACGATTTAATGAACTTCCTGGTTCATCCCTTATGCCCCCACAGAGTGCCCCCACCCCCTTCCCACTGTCCCCATCAGCTCTCTACCCGGTCCTGTTGCCTCCTCCTTTGTCCTCTGCCTATACCACCATCTTGCAGTGATAGAGGAGGAGGTGGCGGCAGCAGGACCAGGTAAGGAGGTGATGGGGTCAGTGGGAAGGGGGAGGGGGCAGGCTGTGGGGCTGCCAATGGGCAAAATCAGGGCCCCAGTGTGCTGTACTGCCTTTTTGTGGTGATGGAGAAAGAGGAGGCAGGACCAGGGAGGGAGGTGACGAGGGCACTGGGAAAGGGTAAAGGGGTAAGGGGGGGTACTTTCCCCTCCCACAGGCATAAACCTTTAAAACAATATGGTTCTTTTTTTTAAAGTTCAGGTGGTTCATGGGTAGCCACAAATCACCATGAATCACCATTTTTGTGATTCATGCCCATCTTTACTCCGCTGTGCTAAGATTTAGCCCCACTGCTCCTGGCATTCCATGCTGCATATTTGACACCTGCAATGCCATACACCCAGTTTCACCTACTGCTAAGAGTGAGGAACAGGGTGGTGGCCGTGGCAGCAGCTTTTTTCTCCCAGCTGCAGCCACGCTGGAGTCTCTTCTTGGCTGGCTCTATACATAATGCCTGAGCTCAAGTATTTCTGTGCATGATGTCCGGCTGTGGAAGTAGAGATACAGCAGCAGTGTTGGAGGTTAAGAAGAGCCCCTTGTCAGTCAGTACAGGCAGTGGAGAGTGAGAAGTGGTGCCTGCCACCCTTACATTCTGTTGTCCAAGGCAACCACCTCAGCGCAGCTAATGGCCTGCCCTGCCCTGCCCGACTGTACCTGTTCATCTTGCTGGGGAATCATATGCTTGAATGCTTCTTACAACAGTTACCTGCACATGAGAACCTACCTAATATGTCAAGGAGAAGTTTTTTTAAGCCACTGGTGTAATGGAAAATTTTGGGATTCAGGCATTCATTATGACAATTCCAACACTAATTCCTAAAAAGGGAGTCCAAAAATGCAGGCACCTGTATTGATCTGTATCGACAGATCAATTTAAACAGTTTTTTCTCTCCACCAGAAGCAGGTTTTGTAAACCTATCATGTCTAAATTCTTCATTCAAGAACAAACCATATCAAAATATGTTGTTCTACAACAGGGATAACATACATACACATACACATTGCATAAATGCAGCTAAATTCAGATGGAACAGATACACCTGAAGAAGGTAGCAGATGACATCATCATTCCTACTAATCAACACCTCCAAGGACTAAAGTAGTTTTATGGAGTTATTTCCTGTCAAAAATGTGGTCTTGTGATGTAAACAAACTCCACGTGGAGAGGGCTGATGTCACACCAGATGTGATGTCATGAAACAAGCTCCACGTGGTGGAACTTGCGTCACACTGTATGTGACGTAATACCAGATGTATGTGTGTCACGTTAGCTGAAATCTCCCACCTGGAGGTCAAAATGCATGCCGCCCTATATACCCAGGAACCAGAAATGGATTCCCTTATGGCCCCAGAACAGAAGCTATGTAGTCTGTACTCTAGGAAATGAAGCCACACACCAAAACCCTTATACTGTAACACACATGTAAGCCTTAGGATTGGCTAAAGAGCAGCATGTAGCCCCTCTGCAAACAGGTGTGGGCCAATAGGGTGAATTTTTAAAATTGTTTCTAACCTCCACAGGCCAAGGTGACTGACATGTGGGTTCAACCCTAATCAAGACTGGTGCTGTGGGGACACATGAGCCCTCTGTATAAACTAGATGAACCAATAGGTGGGGGAGCGGGGGTAGGAGCATATATAGCACAGGCTGTCCTTTGACTTGCTTTAGCAACTGATCACCTTTCACATTTGATTTTGGGTGATCTTTTTGAACTATAGATTGATGAAACACAAGCAAATTCACCAAGAAAGTGAAAGCTGCCATGTGGATATTGCGCAAGCATCTGTTTGTGGTATTTTGAAACACTGCTTCACCCAGTATCTTGCTGACAGCTGTTATGGTTGCAAAAATCAGTCTCCTGAACTTGAATCGCACGAATGTCTGTCATGGATAGAAATGGGCTTTGCCACAAAGCTAAGCATTGCTTGTGGAAAAATGTAGACCAGATCTTAAACCTGATCACAGAAGTAGGGAAATCTGCAAAGCCACCTGAAAAGATTTTAAAAATAATGAGGTGTGATGACCAAGGTTTTCCCCAGCATGTTGAAAGGATCATAAAAACAACGGTGGCAGCAAGAAGGGGGTGGGGCAGGCTGTGGGGGCACCAGAAAGTTTGTTAAATCGTAAAAAACAAAACAAAACAAAAAACGTGGTTTCAGTTGGTTCAGGTTCATCAGCTTTGACTAACTCAAACCAATCTGAACCAGTGATTTCCACTAACGTGGCACACACATTCGGTATTATGTCACGTCCGGTGAGATGTCCGTTCTGCCGTGTGGAGTTTGTTTCATTACATCACATCTGTTGTGATATCAGCCCCCTCCACATGGAGTTGGTTTACACCACGGGACCACATTTTAAACAAAAAGTAGGTCTACAAAGCTACTTACTAAACTCCTTGTTCCACCACTAGTTATAGCCTGTACAATTTTCAACAATGACCAAAGACTAGTTCTGGAGTGATTTTAGTCAAACACAGCAGTGACTGAGGAATGCCTTCCCCAACACTGTCACTCCGATCAGATTCCCACTACCTTGCCACAGTAACTGGTACAAATGATACAGCTTCTTTGAAAGCCATTATTTAATCATGTTTAATTTGGTCCTTAGAAACATGAGTCTGGTTTGGATAATCATTAAACGTTTTAATCCCAATTTGTTCTGGGAATTAAAATATAATTAAAACTGTGAGGTTTTCTGAACAAAAATGTCTATGGATAAGATCCAACCATATCCATTCTTACCAATATAAATTTATTCATTTTCATTGTTATACTTAGGACATACAATCCTTTGCCTTAACTTTAGACTGAAAAGAGAATTCTGGAAATGTAGAAGGCCGAGGGAGGGGGAGTAATGAAGGCCATTTACTTACCTGCAAGTCTTCAGAGATTATAGCATCTCCTCTATTATCTTCAGCTACTTCTCTGCTTTTATCAAAATCTGCTAGGAAAATTTTGCCTGTAACATCTGGGGGTGGGGGAGACAAATACATAGGGTTTTTTGTTATCGGAAAAAGTGATTTCAAAAGTGAATAGCCATTTTCGTTATTCAGCACAACGCTTTTTGCTAGAACATTTTGAGAGCACCTTCATCAGCTGTGCATGCTGATTTCACACTATAAGCCAATGCAACAGGGCTTGCCAAATTAATGTGTCATAGGTCTGTCCTGTTCATATCTAGAGCATGTAGTGCCTAACTTATACAGAAAAAAGTATCAGCCCCCTTCTGCTATATCTCAATGCATTGTCACTTGAAGCTCAAATTTTCCAACCCAGCTTGCTTTCAACAGAGCCAGAGAGGGAAGAACATCAGAAGTAACTGCATGGGGAGACAACGCTAATGCAAAGTTCTTGGCTTTTCTCACTCATTTCCAATTTTAGTTGTGAAAAAAAACTAGGTTATGCTCTTCACTTCTAAGTCTTCTTGGTAAAGATAAGTTATTAAAGATGTTGACCTCCATCACATCTGGTTTGTACAAAAGGACCAAATTAATTTGCTGAAGAGCGGAGTCTGGCACCTTGCTGGGAAGAATTTCCTTCTGTACCTCGTGCAGGTTATCTGCTAAAATGGTTGCTGTAGCCAAGTCATGGTTGTTTTCAATACTGTGACAACTACCATAGATGCTCGCATTATTTATCCTGCTTTTCTGTCTCTTTCATCCTAACACAAATGTATGGGACAGGCTGTACAGTGACAATTTCATATACACACAAATTTCTTAGATCAGGGAAAAGTGACTCTTCTATTCAGAGGAGAAACAGATCAGCAGAGTAGCCTTAAAAAGAGGTGAAAGCAGAAGATTCTGGAATAAAATGTATCCATAAATTACCTCAGGTAAGTAATTCCATACCTCAGGTAAGTAAGTAAGAAACATAACTTCTCCTTTCATTTATCAGGGGGAAGCCACTTTGGTAGCTGATATGAACAACAAGATGTCTTCCCCTCCCATTCTCCATACAAAAGATCACAAGACTGGCAACTGATTTTTCCTTTGAAATTGGCAATGAACCAGCCTACTGCTCTGAACCTGGCTTGTTTAGTGGGCACAAGGCAGGCCATTTGGCAAACACAGCTCTGTCCAATATTTTCCTGCTGCTCCCTGCTTTGTTGGAATCTGCCACCTAAAGCAATTGCCTCACCCTGCCTATTAATGGTAGATAAAGGTAAAGGTTCCCCTTGACATTTAGTCCAGTTGTGTCCGACTCTAGGGGGCAGTGCTCACCCCCATTTCCAAGCCATAGAGTCAGTGTTTGTCCGTAGATAGCTTCCGTGGTCACGTGGCCAGTTCAACTAGACACGGAACGCTGTTACCTTCCTACTGAGGTGGTCCCTATTTATCTACTCGCATTTTTACATGCTTTGAAACTGCTAGGTTGGCAGGAGCTGGGACAAGTGACAGGAGCTCCCACCATCACGTGGATTCGATCTTACAACTGCTGGTTTTCTGCCCTTGCAGCACAGAGGCTTCTGTGGTTTAACCCACAGCGTCACCATGTCCCTCGCAGTGCCACCATGTACCCTAATTAATGGTAGGGTCAGCCTTTTAATTACTTACACTTATGATCTCAATAACGTACTGCTGGATGTACAAGGTTTACACCAAGAGGGCAAAGGATTATACCAGTCAGTGTGCCTAAGGTTAGAATAAAGGGGAGACATAAGGCCCCACTCACATAGGAAACTCTATGCAATGACCCCAGGCAAGTCATCTGTCCCTCAGACCAAATTTTAGGCTTGCTCTCAGAACTAAACGCAAGGGACATGTGAAACCATGTGTGCTGCTCAAAAGAGGGATTTAAATGCAATAAATTATAAATTCAGAGGAACATTTTTATCCACGTCTCTGCAGTGATGAATGGCTGTAGTAAACCTTTCAAGACTTAGCAGGAACTGGGAGCACTGAGGTTTAGTGTCGCTTAAGAATGTTGAAGGCTGCCTTAAACCAAGTTAGATCATCCATACAACTGGGTAAATATTGTCTCACTGATTGTTAATTGCTCTTTAGCTTTTCAAATAAACTGAATCTGAAGAAAAAAGGGGGGTTGAATGACCCTGACCGTCTACATGCAGAGTAGACCTTCTAACCCTGTTCTACAACTTCTCATTCCTTGGACATTTGGGTAGGCCAAACTGAGGAGGGAGCAGGGAGTATATTCTTCCAGGAGCACAGTCAGTATTGTTTCAGAATCTTGTTTCAGAGGGCTGGAGGATTAAAGAGACCCATACTATTACCTGTAATTTCCCACATCGGCTGCTTTTCCTCAATCTGGATGACTTACTATATAGATAAGCTAACCCTCTATGCTGCTTGGGCAGCCTGTCATATGTAGGTGACAGGCTAAACAACCTTATATCTGATATCATTAGGATAAGAGATTATTCAGGAGGGAAGTGGGAATATAATTGTGTGACCAAAATTGAGAAAGTTTGAATTTGGGTCAAGATTCTTTGCTGCTGAGAAATGAAGCAAGCTATATTAAGATTTTCCTGCTGAGTTTCAGGCAATATATTTTATTAATCTGAGCAAGAAGGAGAATTGCTGGATAGCTAAGTGGTTTAGGCATCAGCTGAGAGTTCAATTCCCCACTGTGCCTCCTTGACAAGGGCTGAACACGATGATTAGGTCCCTTAAACTGAGCTAACTACACTGAGGAACATATTTAGAGTCCATGGGACAAATTGCTAAATACAAGAGAGCACAGACCTATTAAAATGTTACTCGGGTGCAGATCCTGGTGGCCAAATCCAAACGAGTGCAACTCCTTCACTGCGAGAAATATGGTTTTAAGAACATCTTTGCTTTCCATGGCTGTGTTGTCTGCCATCTGGAAGTACTCCTCAAGGTTCTTCTCACACAGGCTGAGGCACACGTAGAGGCAAGTCTTCTGTTCTTCCCATCCACAAAGCTTCACCAGATTGTTGCTAGTGTGGCATTTCTCAAGGCAGGTTTTCTCTCGCACAGCATTTTCAGCACCAACATAGAATATCTTTACAGCCACCTCTTTTCCATCATAGAATCCCAGATAGACACCTCCTTGGGAGGTTCTCTTAATCCTAAAATCTTGATAGTGGAAAACCTTAAGCTTTCCAATCATTGGACGATACCTTCCATGAAGGTCCTGGAGCTTTGACCTCCAGTGTTTGCTAGAAGGTGTCCACTGTGTCTTTGGCTGGCTTAGATTCTGTGGTTTGCAATATTTGCAAAGAAGCTCCGTTAATTCAGTATTGTAATTTGAATTAGCAATCTCAAGGAGGTTGCCAATGTCTGTTCTTGCTCCTTCTTCACACAGCACCTTTGATATTTCACAGTTTGTCTTCTCCACTGCTACCATCAGTGCAGTTTTGTTGTTTCTGTCAGCATCATCAATGTCAACTTCATTTCTTTCTAATATAGCCTCCACCAGGCGTTGGCTTTCCCTTTCAGCAGCCAATATGAGAGTAGTTTTCCCATGTTCATCTTTCTTGTTCACATCAGCCCCATTATTTAAGAGGAAAAGGGCAATGGTCTCGTTGCCTTCACCCCACCTCCTGGGTTCCGTTACCGAGAGAGCATGAACTAATGCATTTCTCCCCCAATTGTCACAGGTGTTCACATCAGCCTCCATTTCTTTGACTAGAGCTTCAACAATAGCAACATGGCCCTGCTTGGCAGCATCCATCAGGGCTGTTGCACCCCCTTTATTCAGGGCTTTTTTCTCCTCATCAGTTACTCTGCCCAAATTCACATCAGCTCCATTATCATATAAAAATCTCAAGGCCTCCTCCTTCCCATGCCAAGCAGCCTCCATAAATGCTGTGAAGCCATTGTTGTCATACTCATTTATGTCTGACCCTTTCTCAAGAAAGAGCTTTAAAAGGCTCACATTGCCTGTTATTCCAGCTATGATGAAAGGAGTAGCGCCATTATCCTTCTTAGCATGTGGGTCAGCCCCTTTATCAAGTAGAAATTGGACCAGTTCCCCCATGTCTTTCTGGATGGCGCTATGGAGAGGTGTCCAGCCACCCTTCACCTTTGAATTGACATCTGTACCTTCTTCCAACAGCTTTCGGACAGTCTCAATTGAACCAAATCTCACAGCATTATTTAACTCCTCTGCTTTCTGTGTTGCCATTTCCTTATTGTAGGATTCTGATGGCTTCTGGTAGGGACTACTGAACTGGCTTTCCATCAATATATCTCTTGCATAACACTGGTGTGCAAATATCTGACTAGGATGACATTACCAATTCTGATTAATGGATATCCACAAATGGAATTGTAATGCCACAGGTCTAGATGCCACCTAAATGTACTTCTTTTATGTGGAATCAGTTGTCTGAGATGACAAAATCTCCAGTAAAAAGACACTGTCTTTCTCACATGATGATATGTCTTCTGGAGGATTCACAGTCTTCCTTCCACCTGTTTATCAAAGAGAGATTTTTTAAAAATCATATTCAGAATTCATAGACAGTTTGTATTTCAAGGGTAAGCTTCAGTGTCTAGAATTAATATGCTTCTGCATACCAAATGATAGGCACCACCCAGTACAGTTTACTGTTACAATCCTTAGACCAATCACACAAGGAAAAAAAGATAGACCTTTACAGTTCTCAAAATTCCAAGTACCTTGTAAAAGCATTTGTCATTAAATGACAATTTAAAACCTAGTATCTAGTTACCATAAATTTTCAAAATTTCGTTAAAAAAAGGTACTTCGTAAAAACAGTTGGCATTTGAAAGACAATTTACAATCTAGTTACCAGGGAATTTACAAGACTTGAATATCACCATACAAAATCTAGCTACTGTACTTGATAAGTGATCTTGGAGTCAGAAAGAAACTCATTTTCTGAATGGCCAGGAATTCTTTTGGTCAATGGGGTGATGATCTCCTTACATGCCACCTCATAATGTGGGCAAGTGAGGAACGTGTGTTCTATAGTTTCAACCTCTCTTAAAGGACAAGTACAAAGCCTTTCAGCAAAAGGAATATTCTAGTACTGTACTTCCCTTCAACTACAGCAAAAGAGAGGGCCAAGCACCTTGCCAAGGTGAAGGCTCTTCTAAACCTTTTAACTTCCAGAGATGTTAAAAATTAGTTGGTTCCACAGAGTTTTTGATGTAGGCCCTCACCATAGTATTTTGTATGCTGGAAAGGTCAGTTTGATGTTCTATATTCTCAGTTATGTGCTTTACTAGTGGTTTTTGTTGTTGTTGTTTTTGCTTGGTCTATTCCATAAGATAAGCCCTGAGGGACACCATAACTGAAACTGCTTAGCAATCATCAGAAATAGGAAACTTCTTTGCTGTTGTGCTTTGGAGGGCAAAGGAGAGGAAGCTTTGCATTTCTTTTTAGTTGTTACTAATTTATCATTGGTGCTTTGAAAGGGAGCTTTTAAAATCCTCAAACTATTGCAGATGCACTGTACTCATTTGCAATACAGTACAATACAGTACAAATCTACAGTAAAAAGAAATGCAAAAATTTCCCTCCAAAAGTAAACACCAAGGAAGATTTCAGTTTCTCAAGATCATTAAGCAGTTTCCTCCTCCATACTAGGGCATTTAACAATCTTTAATAATGGGAAAGGAAAAAGGAAAAGAAGTTAAATCATGCAGTGAGGTCCATCCTTGCATATGGATCCAAGAACCATCCTCAGTGACATATCTGCAACTCTGTTTAGCACAATCTAGAGCAATCCAGACCAAGATAATTCAGCTGTCTGGTCACACACTTACTCCCTGAGCAGATCCCAGCAGATCAATTCTATACTCACATTTTGTTTGTCTAACCAATTGTTATGTTCACGTCTTTTCCTTTCTCCGGTGAGCAAAAGGCAATGCATATGTCTTTCCTCCCTACTTTATCCTCATAATAATTCTGAGAGGCAAATTAGATTGAGATTGATAGGGAGGAAGTGAGACCAAGGGCACACACAGAGTTTTATGGTTCAGTTAGAACTAAAACCCAGATCTCCCAAGTTCTAGTCCAACCCACTAACCACTACACTAAGCTACACTACAGAGGTTCTTATGTCACTACTGCTGAACCATTGAAATGGGCACCGTGTCCAGGATATACTCAGCAAAGGTGAATGAGGGGAACAACATGCAAGCAGAAAAATAATTAAATCACACACACACACACACACAAACACAAAGACCAGAAAATGAAATGAGAATGACTGAAATGTAGGAAAGGCAGAAAATAAAAATTAAATCCCAACATCTCTGGAAGCTGTGCCACTGATCAAAGATTCTGAAGAAACAGGAGTAACCACAGAATATACAATGGCTCACCACCAGCACATATACCTGCATCACAGTATGCAAGACCATCCATCAGTGACCAGCGGAGCAGTCGTGACCCTACTTCTACCAATGCCATGCAGACTGAAAAGCAGGCATTCAGATCCCCTAGACCAGTGGTTCTTAACCTTTGTTACTCAGGTGCTTTTGAACTGCAACTCCCAGAAACCCCAGCCAACAGAGCTGATGGTGAAGGCTTCTGGGAGTTGCAGTCCAAAAACATTTGAGTAACAAAGATTAAGAACCAGTGCCCTAGACCAGTGGTTCTTAACGTGGGCAATAATGCCCCCCAGGGGGCGATTTCATTTTTCAGGGGGGCGGTAGAACGAAAAGGGGCAGTGTGGGGGCGAAAGAACAGA